AAACAGATGCATGTGATAAAGACAGAGGTAATCTAGCTTATCGGGCACAGAATCAAACACTAGGAAGCTTGGAGTTTTTTTCCAGAACTCAGTCTGTCAGAGTGGGCTCTTATTGTGCTGACGTTCACCTTTCTACCACCTGTAAAGGACTTGGGAGACTCTTTGTTCCAAAAGCTTAAAGTAGTCACCTTTTTTTGTAATTTGTATTGCTTTTATTTTTGATTTATTCACTATATTTGTACTTCTACTGTACCATGTTCAGCGCCTTGGCCTTCCTTACAGGGTTGCGGAAGGCACTTTATAAATAAAGCTTTGATTGATTGAATATTCAGTTGTGGGGAGTTTTACCATCAGTGCTGTGAAATACTGTCTATAACCTTCTGTCTGTCTAGCCTAAGAGCTAGTAGCTGAGTAGCGGTTGAAAAGGGGGTTAGCCTGGATCACCCATCTATTTCCTGTCTGATGTTTATGATTGGGATAAAGTTTACCTGAGCTCTACTGCGGCTCAGAGGTTTTCTTTCTTAATTCTGTTTAAAGTGTCAGGTTAATAATGTTGTAAACGCACGTATCTAGTTTCATCCACAACAGGTTCTGAAGCTTGCCTCATTTGCTTTACCCAGTTTTCTGTAGATGGATTCAGTTTCATGGCGTTTAGAGCAGAGATGCACTGAATGTGGTTTTGAGGGTAGACAGGACATACGCAGAGGAAAAGGCATGAGGGCTGAGGGCTCAACCATCCGCTTACACACCTGCTCACTTCCGGTCTTTCCAATTTCACGAAAGACCCAGCCTACAGCGACAGGGTCCTTTGGAAAGATGTAGCACTCAAATTTAGACGCCTACAGCGACAGGGTCCTTTAGAAAGATGCAGCACTCAAATTTAGACGCTACAACAAAATGTGATGGCGTTTTCATCAGTTAGTGAACGCACCTGATGTCACGATCAATACACAAAGCAGTGCACAATATTAAGATTTAAAGTGACAGTGGGTGTTTTTCCTGGCGATAAGGGGCAGTAGATAACTAAATCATTGCAAGCAAGCAGTATTTTTGTGTTGGAGTAAGACTTTACCAACGGATACCCATTGGGGTCAAAAAGCCCTGGGGAGTGCAAACCAGTGAAGAGGTAAATGTGTCTTGTCCTCATGGGCTCCCGTAGAAGGAAACATGGCATCTAATATGGCGTCACCCAGAGACTTGGACCTACTCCATGTATCTTAGACCTGATTTTCATGGTTTTAGGTTATGAAGCTGCTAATATTTTTTTCAACAACTGGGCATCATTTAATTTATTTTAAACAACATATCAAAGGATGTTCCCAGATATTAATGATAAAAACTACACATTGTCTCTTTAACCGTTGGTTAAATTCAGCGTTCAAACACAGATTCAGCTAATGTTATTATTGGTATTTTAGCATGCAAATAAGCTAGAAAATGTCTAGGTATCGGCCTTGAAAATCAGCCCAAAAATCTGCTGCCCATGTCGGCACCTACATATCAGTATCAACAATACTGTATATATATAAACCCATGTTGGTCGACCTCTAGTAGCGATGTCACACTCTGAAATGGAGATACCAGGAAAAAGCTGCAGGCAGCAAGGTGAAAGGCTTTGGAACGACCAGTGACTCCACCCCCTAGCCAGTCAGTGACTGACAGTCTCACGTCGCATTTTTGGACTAGTTCAGTATGATTGGTACCACGTAGGGCTGCACGATATTAGAAAACCCTGTGATATGCGATAACAGTGATTAATATTGCTATGGTGATATTACTTGCGATAAGAAATAAAAAATGTGACAAAAGTATCATAAAAATGAGAAAAGCAAAAGATGTGAGGAAAGGGAAAAAGGAAACAAATAAGAAAAGGCAATCCATGGATCCTGGGAAAAGCAGAATAAGCAAAAAGAGCAGAACAAAGCTAACTCAGGTGTTTGCTAACCATTAAAATTAAGTGCTGTTCGCCTCGGGGGCGGCATCTGACCTATGAGAACCCACCCAATTGGCCAAATGGGTGAAGGGCTCTATTTAATGTGTTAACAAAGCATTATTCTTCCGTTTGATTGACAGAATAAATTATGTGTAGCAAACATTTGAGCCGACCATTCATTGCGATATTTATCTGTTCTTTGCGATATGCATATTGCACATGCTGATATCGCGATAGCGATATATTTGCGATATATTGTGCAGCTCTAGTACCACATATGGGCATATGATGGAAACGGCTTGAAACCGCACAGAGCCGAGCCACGCTGAGTAGGAACTAATGGAAAAGACCCAGTAGTGCACATGTGTCAGACACAAGGCCAGATGCGGCCCGCGAGATAAATATCAAAAATACATTAAAACTGACCCGCTGTCCGATTTTACCACAAAGACTTCAACTCCCATGAAGCTTTGCGGCGTCAGCGCGGAGCCGACGCGCCCCCTCCTTTGAGTTTTTTCCAGCGCCTGCTGCCGGTCTCTGCAGCTCCGCTGTCTCGGACAAACTAAACACTCCTCTCACTCAGCGCCGAGTTCACTCAGCTATTTTCTGACGTTGAAGCCCAGAAACGGAGATTCTAGCCGCTCAGTAATGTGTTCACGACTTAAAGAGGACGTTTTCCAACTAACGTCCAGACAGAGCTGATATAACTCCAGCGAGCAGCGACACGCTCAAACCAGCACGGCTCTGTGGTTGTGTTTCCTCCCCGACACACAACAACGTGGTCAAGCTGCTCAGACATGTTCAGCAGCACAAACCTATGTGAGCACCTGTTGTCATCTAATGTTGTCATTATTATGATGAAGATGAACAAAACAACAGGAGTGTCCTCCTCAGCTCAGATCAACCCCATGATGCAGGTATCTGGCTGGAACAGGTGAGCATCACAGTAAACCAGTGGAGCAAACTGAGCTTTAAATATGTTGGTTTTATGCTCTTTTTCTGCTCCAAAACATGAAAGTTAACAGGTGAGATGTTGCATTTTCATTTAAGATAAAATAATATTTTTATTTTGTTGTTGGCCCGTGAGAAAAGATTTAACCTACAGTAAACAGGAAGTGGAAAGGCTGCAGATAGATGAATAGAATAGAAAATCCCTTTATTGTTCCTCAGTGGGGAAAGCTAGACGTCACAGCAGCGATGACACTTATTACAGGAGAAAAAAGGAGAATAAAAAATAAGAAAAATGAATAAACAAGAAAACATAAATCCTGAATAGATTTATAAAATGCTGATTATACCACAAGTAATGAATACCACTGATGCCTTTTATTTAAAACTGTCTTGCTTGTGTGTCATTTGGTTATTCCACATTCAGTGTTAATGCAGAAATATGTTTGTTTCCAAATTAAATGTTGATAAAGAAAATGTGCAAATTTGCCGTCACTTTTTAAAAAAATATTAAGTTTGGCCCTCGACTCCGTCCCAGAGTTTCATTTCGGCCCCGTTTGAGTTTGACACCCCTGCAGTAGTGGTACCTGATGATGCACTGCATATGCAAATCCTGGGGTAGAGCTAATTAGCACAGCAAACAAGTACTTAATCTGTTCACTTTATCAAGTAATGCGAAAACGAAACCAGCAGTTAAAACAAAGCTTGGAGAATTTTAGCATGTTTGGCTTTCCTTAAGCTGATCTAAAGGCTGTATGTTGGTCTGAGCTCACAAAAGATGGCTCAATAGTTTCATGTTGTTGCGCGGGTGTTAATTAGAGCCGGCCAGCATGATGGTACCAGCCAGTTTCCCCTGGGGGGGGGGGGGGGGGGGGGGGGTGTAATTCCTTAGTTTCCCGTTGGATTAAAGAAAATAAACAGATTAACCAGAGAGAGAGAGATGTTGTGTTTTCTCAGGGTATGGAAGATCATCAGGCTTATTTTTTCTCATGCGGTTAGAAGTAAAGCGATTCAGAAGAGACGGGAGTGAATCTGCTCTGAGTTGCTTTTACGGCGTTTGTTTCTTTGCCTGCAGAAATGGAAGCAGCTGTCCCGGCTTCAGCGGAGCCTCATCCTGTTCCTGCTGGCTCTGCTGCTCGTTTTAGCTCTGCTCTCTCATTCCAGCATCACAAAACGGTGGAGAGGTAAAGATGATATATTTATCACTAAACACAGGCAGCCAGGTAGGCTTCACTTGAATGACCTTTGAGTTGGTGTTTGATGATAAATGAAAACGCCTGCGTAGATTTAAAGCTGTTATTACACCTTTGATAGAAAATATGACCTGATGCTTATTTAATGTTGTGCGTGATTCTTCCTAAAATGGCATAATAATCAGCTGTGATGCTTGTAGGTTTGCCTGAGAAGGAGGACTGGCTGCAGCTGGGTGACAGAGACCTGAATGTCATTCCTGCTCCTCCCAAACCCGTTTTGGATCCAGATGCTGGTAAACCTCCAGCTCCTGTTGTGGGGCCACATCTGGAGCCAGCTGAGGGTCAGCCAGATGTTGCAGCAGAATCCAGAGGACAAATTATCCCAATTCTGCCTAAACCTCCAACTAAGGTTAGGTTACTATTTCAGAAACACAACTTATCATCTATTCAAATCGGTGCTGCTTCTGACTGGATATATGTCATCTGGATTTTTTATCATTATTTTAGGTAATTCTGGTTTAGATTTCCATATTTATTCTAGTTTGACGCCTTAGATTTCCACCGTCAACCTGGGTTCTTACTTTGACTTCCAAGGTTTAGAAAAGCGACTTAAAAAATTGGTTCTGGAACAATAACGTTAACCCTCACGAGACAAGGAAGTAAAACAGTAGTTCTGAGCACCTATTTTATGTTCGGTCCATTTAAATCCCCTCCGACGAAATGTGCGGAAGGATCTTAAACTCACACTGGAAGTGCTTGAAATGTTCTTGAATTTGACTCTGGCAAGCCTTGAATTACGATTACTCCATTTGAGACAGAGCTGCTTACAGTGTGGCAAGAAGTATTTAGTCAGCCACCAACCCACTTAAAAATCTGAGAGGCCTGTCATTTGTGTGTGTGTGTGTGTGTGTGTTTGTGTGTGTCTAAATTTGTGTTGTGCCTTCTCCTTTTGAATCCTGCTTTTTTCCAGTCAGAGAAACACTCTGCCATTTATTAGTCAATTCTTATAACCCTTTCACCACCTTTTCATGGTTCATAAACACACATATGTCTAAATAAACAATTTTAGATCATTAAAAATTAAATGTAGGTCTATGTTTTATAACTACAGGATCCTGAGACACTATATTTTTCCACAGAAAAACATATTTGTCCCATCAACACGAATTTAGACTAATTCCAAAGGAAATAAAAATTTCCCAGCTTCCACCCAGCATTCAAACGCACCATGTACGCACAAATCAGTCCGGTGTGGAGAGTCTCAAAAGGATTTTTGTACTTGTAAACTGAACTGTGTAATGTAGTTTTGTCAGTGTGTACCAGGTGATTTGTGTGTGTGTGTGTGTGTGTATTCAAAGATTTGTATGTTTAGGAGCTGAAGTTACACACGAAAATGTAAACACAAGTAACAAATCAAGAGTTGCACTCACACACACATTTAGAAACACACACAAATCTTTTGAGACTTTTTCTCCCCATAGGCTCCACGCAAGATCTCACCCCGTGGGGTCAAAATGATCACAAGAACAAATGTGTACGCTACGCAACGTGCATGGTGACGTAGTTTGTGCCGGTGTCGGTACAGGATCTGCTCGGTGACTGCCGATGACGTCAAAGTACGGCAAACCCACTCGGACAAAATACAGTACACATCTATACTGTTGAAAAGAATTTAGCAGTTTCGTTATTAAAATAATGTTTCTTAAGACGTAAGTTTGTGTTTATAATGGTATTTGTAAATTAAAACACTATATTGTATTCATAATGTTGATCCTCTTTGAGCACATCCCTTGAAGGATCATAGGTATTAGCAACACCTGTGAAATTGTATTTGCAGGAAAAAAGTGTGTCCCGTTTATTGAAGTATTTTGTGTTTAGAGTTTTTGACGTCTTGTCCATGAGTAGTTCAGTTACGCTCATAGCTGCTAGCCAAAACTCTGGAGTTAAAAGTTTTCTGGCTTTACTAAAATACCTGTCTGTATTTATTTGATTGATGGTAGTTTTACTTTCTATTAGACTCCAAATGTAATCATTTGGCACGTTTCTAATTCATAATTTGTAATAATGTAATCGTTGATATTAGCATTAGCATTCCTATGGGTTTTTCCATGTATATTAGCGTTGCGCTAACCACTCGCTGCCAAATTGCAGCCTTTGCGATTAGAAAATCTCCTTTTGTCACATCACAATTTAATTGCACATGAAATTAATCGTTCAGCCCTAATATACATGCAGCTCTATGCTAAAAGTGTATTTTCAAAGAGGTAATGATGGATTTCTTTGTAAAAGTTGTCCATCTTTCCAACAGAAAGATTTGCCTGGACCAACGTAACGTGATAACAACGTAACGTGATAACGTAATTCCGTAAGGTTCATGTTCAGCCAATCAACTACTTTGACGTCATCGGCAGCCGACGGACCCCGAGCCGCTCTTGCACCCGAGCCGATCTTGTACCGACACCGGCTGGAATTGATATGGGAATTGCAAATGGCACATGAACCGGTTCTTGTTTGATTCCCATTCCTACTCAGGAATGTTCGTTGATACGGAAGACCCGTGCCAAAAGATTAAGATTGGTTAAGATAGTTATTCTTTTTTAAAATATAAAATTTTGTCCCAATCCTCCCACTCATGTCTCTAAATGCAGCGAAAGAGAGGCCCCCCAAGCCTACAGAGAGATGGGAACGTTTCAGACACAAAAGGGGAAGAAAAAAAGAAGCAGGAGGCAGTTCCAGGTGAAGGGGAGGAGGAAAAGAAAATCGTTAGGTGATTTTTCTGGTTTTTGTGCACTTCTTTTAACGATGTAGGGATTTTATTTTAGTTTTTAGAACCTTGAGTTAAATAAATGGTAGAAAAATATGAAGAAAATCGTAACGCGGTTTGAGAAACAGGTTTTTGGATCAACTTCACAGCTGGAGAGGAGCAATGATCGAAGCAGACCAGACGACTGAACCTCCACCTTCAGCCAATGAGAAGGAGGCTGTTGCTCCACCTGAACCTCCAGAACCTGCCAAACCTGCTATCGTCGTAAATCCAGAAGGTCAGAGTTGGATTTTATATATTAACCCATAGTTCTCTTTAACAGCAGTACACTCCAAATTTTGATTATTATTTTTATTATTTATTTTTTTGTTAAAACTTTTTTTAGGCTTTTAAATTTCACCTCAGATAAATGAGATTGTCTCGCTTCAGAGTAAAAACACTGTCTTCTCTCTCAGAGCAGTTTGTCTGAGTTATTCCTGAGCCGTTTGTCTGACCAGTTATTCCTGAGCCGTTTGAGTTATTCCTGAGCCGTTTGAGTAATTCCTGAGCCGTTTGAGTTATTCCTGAGCCGTTTGATGAGTTATTCCTGAGCCGTTTGATGAGTTATTCCTGAGCCGTTTGAGTTATTCGTTATTCCTGAGCCGCTTGAGTTATTCCTGAGCCGTTTGAGTTATTCCTGAGCCATTTGAGTTATTCCTGAGCCGTTTGATGAGTTATTCCTGAGCCGTTTGATGAGTTATTCCTGAGCCGTTTGATGAGTTATTCCTGAGCCGTTTGATGAGTTATTCCTGAGCCGTTTGATGAGTTATTCCTGAGCCGTTTGATGAGTTATTCCTGTGCCGTTTGAGTTATTCCTGAGCCGTTTGATGAGTTATTCCTGAGCCATTTGATGAGATATTCCTGAGCCGTTTGATGAGTTATTCCTGAGCCGTTTGATGAGTTATTCCTGAGCCATTTGAGTTATTCCTGAGCCGTTTGAGTTATTCCTGAGCCGTTTGAGTTATTCCTGAGCCGCTTGAGTTATTCCTGAGCCGTCTGAGCCGTTTGTCTGATGAGTTATTCCTGAGCCGTTTGAGTTATTCCTGAGCCGTTTGAGTTATTCCTGAGCCATTTGAGTTATTCCTGAGCCGTTTGTGTTATTCCTGAGCCGCTTGAGTTATTCCTGAGCCGTCTGAGCCGTTTGTCTGACAAGTTATTCCTGAGCCGTTTGTCTGACGAGTTATTCCTGAGCTGTTTGTCTGACGACTTATTCCTGAGCCGTTTGTAAATGGTAAATGGCCTGTATTTGATATAGCGTCTTCTAGAGTCCTGGAACCCCCCAAGGCGCTTTACAACACAGTCAGTCATTCACCCATTCACACACACATTCACACTCTGGTGGGGATGAGATACGATGTAGCCACAGCTGACAGAGGCGAGGCTGCCGAGCACTGGCGCCACCGGTCCCTCCGACCACCACCAGCAGGCAACGTGGGTTAAGTGTCTTGCCCAAGGACACAACGACAGCGACAGACTGAGCGGGGCTCGAACCTGCAACCTTCCGATTACGGGGCGAGCACTTAACTCCTGTGCCACCGTCGCCCAGTTTGTCTGATGAGTTATTCCTGAGCCGTTTGTCTGATGAGTTATTCCTGAGCCGTTTGTCTGATGAGTTATTCCTGAGCCGTTTGTCTGATGAGTTATTCCTGAGTCGTTTGATGAGTTATTCCTGAGCCGTTTGTCTGATGAGTTATTCCTGAGCCTTTTGAGTTATTCCTGAGCCGTTTGATTTATTCCTGAGCCGTTTGAGTTATTCCTGAGCCGTTTGTGTTATTCCTGAGCCGCTTGAGTTATTCCTGAGCCGTCTGAGCCGTTTGTCTGATGAGTTATTCCTGAGCCTTTTGAGTTATTCCTGAGCCGTTTGAGTTATTCCTGAGCCATTTGAGTTATTCCTGAGCCGTTTGTCTGACAAGTTATTCCTGAGCCGTTTGTCTGACGAGTTATTCCTGAGCCGTTTGAGTTATTCCTGAGCCGTTTGCGTTATTCCTGAGCCGTTTGAGTTATTCCTGAGCCGTTTGTGTTATTCCTGAGCCGCTTGAGTTATTCCTGAGCCGTTTGTCTGATGAGTTATTCCTGAGCCGTTTGAGTTATTCCTGAGCCGTTTGTCTGATGAGTTATTCCTGAGCCGTTTGAGTTATTCCTGAGCCGTTTGAGTTATTCCTGAGCCATTTGTGTTATTCCTGAGCTGCTTGAGTTATTCCTGAGCCGTCTGAGCCGTTTGTCTGATGAGTTATTCCTGAGCCGTTTGAGTTATTCCTGAGCCGTTTGAGTTATTCCTGTGCCATTTGAGTTATTCCTGAGCCGTTAGTGTTATTCCTGAGCCGCTTGAGTTATTCCTGAGCCGTCTGAGCCGTTTGTCTGATGAGTTATTCCTGAGCCGTTTGAGTTATTCCTGAGCCATTTGAGTTATTCCTGAGCCGTTTGTCTGACAAGTTATTCCTGAGCCGTTTGTCTGACGAGTTATTCCTGAGCTGTTTGTCTGACGAGTTATTCCTGAGCCGTTTGTCTGACGAGTTATTCCTGAGCCGTTTGTAAATGGTAAATGGCCTGTATTTGATATAGCGTCTTCTAGAGTCCTGGAACCCCCCAAGGCGCTTTACAACACAGTCAGTCATTCACCCATTCACACACACATTCACACTCTGGTGGGGATGAGATACGATGTAGCCACAGCTGACAGAGGCGAGGCTGCCGAGCACTGGCGCCACCGGTCCCTCCGACCACCACCAGCAGGCAACGTGGGTTAAGTGTCTTGCCCAAGGACACAACGACAGCGACAGACTGAGCGGGGCTCGAACCTGCAACCTTCCGATTACGGGGCGAGCACTTAACTCCTGTGCCACCGTCGCCCAGTTTGTCTGAGTTATTCCTGAGCCGTTTGTCTGATGAGTTATTCCTGAGCCGTTTGTCTGATGAGTTATTCCTGAGTCGTTTGATGAGTTATTCCTGAGCCGTTTGTCTGATGAGTTATTCCTGAGCCGTTTGTCTGACGAGTTATTCCTGAGCCGTTTGAGTTATTCCTGAGTCGTTTGAGTTATTCCTGAGCCGTTTGAGTTATTCCTGAGCCGTTTGTCTGATGAGTTATTCCTGAGCCGTTTGTCTGATGAGTTATTCCTGAGCCGTTTGAGTTATTCCTGAGCCGATTGAATTATTCCTGAGCCGTTTGTCTGATGAGTTATTCCTGAGCCGTTTGTCCGATGAGTTATTCCTGAGCCGTTTGATGAGTTATTCCTGAGCCGTTGGATGAGTTATTCCTGAGCCGTTGGATGAGTTATTCCTGAGCCGTTTGATGAGTTATTCCTGAGCCGTTTGATGAGTTATTCCTGAGCCGTTTGATGAGTTATTCCTGAGCCGTTTGATGAGTTATTCCTGAGCCGTTTGATGAGTTATTCCTGAGCCGTTTGATGAGTTATTCCTGAGCCGTTTGATGAGTTATTCCTGAGCCGTTTGATGAGTTATTCCTGAGCCGTTTGATGAGTTATTCCTGAGCCGTTTGATGAGTTATTCCTGAGCCGTTTGATGAGTTATTCCTGAGCCTTTTGTCTGATGAGTTATTCCTGAGCCTTTTGTCTGATGAGTTATTCCTGAGCCTTTTGTCTGATGAGTTATTCCTGAGCCTTTTGTCTGATGAGTTATTCCTGAGCCTTTTGTCTGATGAGTTATTCCTGAGCCTTTTGTCTGATGAGTTATTCCTGAGCCGTTTGAGTTATTCCTGAGCCGTTTGTCTGATGAGTTATTCCGAGCCGTTTGTCTGATGAGTTATTCCGAGCCGTTTGTCTGATGAGTTATTCCGAGCCGTTTGAGTTATTCCTGAGCCGTTTGAGTTATTCCTGAGCCGTTTGATGAGTTATTCCTGAGCCGTTTGATGAGTTATTCCTGAGCCGTTTGATGAGTTATTCCTGAGCCGTTTGATGAGTTATTCCTGAGCCGTTTGATGAGTTATTCCTGAGCCGTTTCATGAGTTATTCCTGAGCCTTTTGTCTGATGAGTTATTCCTGAGCCGTTTGAGTTATTCCTGAGCCGTTTGTCTGATGAGTTCTTCCAAGCCGTTTGTCTGATGAGTTATTCCGAGCCGTTTGTCTGATGGTTATTCCTGAGCCGTTTGAGTTATTCCTGAGCCGTTTGTCTGATGAGTTATTCCTGAGCCGTTTGTCTGATGAGTTATTCCTGAGCCGTTTGAGTTATTCCTGAGCCGTTTGAGTTATTCCTGATCCGTTTGTCTGATGAGTTATTCCTGAGCCGTTTGAGTTATTCCTGAGCCGTTTGAGTTATTCCTGAGCCGTTTGAGTTATTCCTGAGCCGTTTGTCTGATGAGTTATTCCGAGCCGTTTGTCTGAGTTATTCCGAGCCGTTTGTCTGATGAGTTATTCCTGAGCCGTTTGTCTGATGAGTTATTCCTGAGCCGTTTGTCTGATGAGTTATTCCTGAGCCGTTTGTCTGATGAGTTATTCCTGAGCCGATTGAGTTATTCCTGAGCCGTTTGAGTTATTCCTGAGCCGTTTGAGTTATTCCTGAGCCGTTTGTCTGATGAGTTATTCCTAAGCCGTTTGTCTGATGAGTTATTCCTGAGCCGTTTGTCTGATGAGTTATTCCGAGCCGTTTGTCTGATGGTTATTCCTGAGCCGTTAGAGTTATTCCTGAGCCGTTTGTCTGATGAGTATTCCTGAGCCGTTTGATGAGTTATTCCTGAGCCGTTTGAGTTATTCCTGAGCCGTTTGAGTTATTCCTGAGCCGTTTGATGAGTTATTCCTGAGCCGTTTGATGAGTTATTCCTGAGCCGTTTGATGAGTTATTCCTGAGCCGTTTGATGAGTTATTCCTGAGCCGTTTGATGAGTTATTCCTGAGCAGTTTGATGAGTTATTCCTGAGCCGTTTGATGAGTTATTCCTGAGCCGTTTGATGAGTTATTCCTGAGCCGTTTGATGAGTTATTCCTGAGCCGTTTGATGAGTTATTCCTGAGCCGTTTGATGAGTTATTCCTGAGCCGTTTGATGAGTTATTCCTGAGCCGTTTGATGAGTTATTCCTGAGCCGTTTGATGAGTTATTCCTGAGCCGTTTGATGAGTTATTCCTGAGCCGTTTGATGAGTTATTCCTGAGCCGTTTGATGAGTTATTCCTGAGCCGTTCGATGAGTTATTCCTGAGCCGTTTGATGAGTTATTCCTGAGCCTTTAGTCTGATGACTTATTCCTGAGCCGTTTGAGTTATTCCTGAGCCGTTTGAGTTATTCCTGAGCCGTTTGTCTGATGAGTTATTCCGAGCCGTTTGTCTGATGGTTATTCCTGAGCCGTTTGAGTTATTCCTGAGCCGTTTGTCTGATGAGTTATTCCTGAGCCGTTTGTCTGATCAGAATCAGAAAAGGTTTATTGCCATTGTCAATGAACAAGCAGTTCACAAACTAGGAACTTGTTTGAGTTATTCCTGAGCCGTTTGAGTTATTCCTGAGCTGTTTGAGTTATTCCTGAGCTGTTTGAGTTATTCCTGAGCCGTTTGAGTTATTCCTGAGCCGTTTGTCTGATGAGTTATTCCTGAGCCGTTTGTCTGATGAGTTATTCCGAGCCGTTTCTCTGATGAGTTATTCCTGAGCCGTTTGTCTGATGAGTTATTCCTGAGCCGTTTGAGTTATTCCTGAGCCGTTTGAGTTATTCCTGAGCCGTTTGTCTGATGAGTTATTCCTGAGCCGTTTGTCTGACTCTGTTAGTTGATGTCTTCCTGAGGATGCCCTACAATGTGCACTCTGCCATAAATGGAACCATCTTCTTTAGACAATCCAAATTGTAAGCTCACAGTGAGTTGTTGTTATGCTAAATTAATTTGTGTGTTTTTGTCAGTAGTCCCTACTGGACCTGCAGACCGGCTGGAGGCGGTACGCGATGCCTTCAGACATGCATGGAAGGGCTACAAGGACTACGCCTGGGGTCACGATGAGCTCAAACCCATCTCAAAGTCTTTTGGTGAATGGTTCGGACTGGGTTTGACTCTGATCGACTCCTTAGACACCATGTGGATTATGGAACTGAAAGAAGGTTTGAGTCACATTAAGTGATTTTATATTTGCTCACAGAAAAATGACGGATAACTCAAAACCTGCCCAGAAAATGAGCTACGGTAGCATTTATCAATCAGCTTTTAGTCCTGCTGTAAACCTGGGTCACTCTAATCTGCAGGTCAAAATATTCCCCTTCATCATGAAATATAATTATAATTTTAAATGAACTGTTTATTTCTCTCTTCCTAATCTGGATCTTGAATCTTGAAAATCCAACATAAAATATAATAAAGAGTTTTTGTCTAATTGGCAATATTGGTGAAAAATAGGTGAAGCTCTTTACCTGCTTGAAGCCTTCTTGGGCTGTTGTCTGTTGGAGTGACGTTTCCTCCAACACACACCACCAAGCTTTGCTTTCAGACTCATCCATCAGCCGGGATTTCCCGCCAGGACAACAGAGGGCGTAGCGAGGTATCCTGCCACCATTACAGTCACAAATTCGGTCCACATTAGTGCATTTACTATTGTGTTCTTGACAGAGGAGTATAAAGTAGGCTTTATCCACGTTGTTACTCCAACAGATGGCAGCCAATGAAGTCTTCACAGGGTATCTGCGTGTCCTTAAAAAGTCTTAAATTAGCTTTTCCAAATTTAAGGCCTTAAAAATCCTTAAAAATTACAAATAATCCTTAAATACAGTTTCCAAAGGTCTTAAATTACCAAAGACCCACTAAACAAGATTATTTTATTTCTATAAAATTTTCATGAATTTCTAGTTAGTGTTCAGCATTTTTTGTGTACGATGTAGGCGTAAGCGGAACCGTACACATTCAGTTGGTTGTGAAAGGGGGCTATTTTTAGATGAGCACATTAGCTGGTTAAGCTAGTGGGAGCTTGAGCCATGGGTGAGTGGAAGTTTAATGGTAACTGGATGGTTAATGCCAAGTTTGCGACATGGTTAGCACCGGTTCCAGGCAATAGCTGGAAATTATAGCTTAAATTTAATATTTAAAAATAGCTTAAATTTGGTCAAAGTGGCCTTAAAAAGGGTCTTAAAAAGTCTTAATTGTGGCTCCCTTACACCCGCAGATACCCTGCTTCAAGTGAGAAGTTGAAACTGTCGGCAGATAAAGAACTTCACCTATAATATATAACAGGGGCCCAATCCTGGTCCTCAGATCCCCTATCCAGCCTGTTTTATATCTCACCCTGCTGATTCAGTGGCTAAATCACCTGTTCGACAGCTACTCAGGCTCTGCTGAACACTGCTAATCACCACTGATTTAAAGCAGGTGTGTTGAAACGGGGATCTTCTAAGACATGCTGGATGGGGGATCTCAAGGACCAGGATTGGGCACCCTTGTGATCCTATTAAATATAAATAACTTCAGATTTCTCCTTTGAGATTGTTAGGTGGACATAATATGCAGATCTCACTTTTTGCATCCTTTTGTGCCGCCGTGGCTTTCTAACGGGGTCGGCAACCTTTTCCCATCAAAGAGCCATTTTTACCCGTTTCCCACAGTAAAGAAAACACTTTCCCGCACAATGTGGGTGGGCCTACCGGGCCAGTGTTTCATTTAAAACATGTTTAAACTATTCAGAACACAAATCCAGGCTCTGTCTCGTTGGATTGTTGTAATTAAACTTTTTACAGAACTAAACTTTACATTAAACAATGTTGAAAAGGATTCGACCATTTAGTTTTCCCCTCATTTACAGTGATAGAGATAACGGCGCAGTGCGCATGGCTCAAACGAAGTCAGCTGAACTTGCATCAGTGGTTCTTTTACACCTGCACGATCACATCCAGCTCTGCTCTTGTTCTCCTGCATTAGCCTTCAAGGCTTCTGCTGTCACTACAGGAGAACCGTGTTCAGAGCGCCTGAAGCTACCCTTCAGGGAGTTTCTGTCACACCCGCTTCTTTCATGCTCCCATCAAGATAACAGGCTGAAGCTATATATGATGCTAACTTACACGTCAATATGAGAGGAAAGAAACCTGTTGAGATGTCAAAAGTTGTTTCTCTGTTTGTTCTGCGGCATGAATGAATCTTTTCTTCCGAGGGAGTTTTTTTTACATAATTTCTTGACGACTTCTTTTTCCAAAGTGTTCAAATGAAGACAACTGGACTTCTTTGGTTCCTTGAAGACGTTTCGCTTCTCATCCAAGGAGCTTTGTCATTTCTAACTGGAATATGGGAGAGTCAATATTCCAGTTAGAATTGACAAAGCTCCTCGGATGAGAAGTCCAGTTGCCTTCATTTGAACCCTTTGGATTACCGTGACCTGGATGACGGAGAACCTTCACCAGCATACAACTTCCTTTTGTTCATGGTTATGATCTGTCTTGACAGAATTTTCTGAAGCAAGAAGCTGGGTGGAGAAGGAGCTGTCCTTTAACAAGAATGTGGACGTGAATCTCTTTGAAACAACCATACGAATCCTAGGGGGCCTGCTGAGCTGCTACCATCTAACAAGAGACCAACTCTTTCTGGAAAAAGCTGTGAGTGGAGATGAGAGACGTAGCATCTTTAGTGTTAGTAGTTAACAGAGCGTCACCAGAAAGCCTTCCTGCATTAAGACTTCATAACAGTGTTTAATTTGTAAATCAAACATTCCCGGAACGTAAATAGTGACGTCATACCAAAGTTCACTAAAGGCCAAACTGATGCCGGAACACGCATGGTGGGAGGTGGGGTATCCGGGTTGGTTCGCTGGAGTTTTTGACAGTTAAAACTTGCGCCCACATCTTCAAAGTTAACACACATTTCTTCTAACAGCAGCAGTTTTTGCATCTTTACTGTTCCCTTGCTTCAGCCCTCTCCCCCCTCCCCCTGCGCAGCGGCCGCAAACTCACTGATGCGCCTGCAGCCTCTCGGAGTTCCTGCTGCTCTAAACATTGAAAGAATCATTTAATTTTCTGTTCCTCACTTCTGATTACCTTCAATGGTGTCTGTTTGTTGCAACCAGCAGGTACAAAAACTCACTTGTTTTTATTTGACTATTTTCTGTCCTGTCTGTTTATTATCTTCCTGCATCTCCTCTCAGTCCTAAAGAGAAACTGCTACCTGGCTTCATATTTTTCTGTCTTGGTCCTTGTTTACTCACCCGTATGTTACTGAAGGTGTCTCATCCCCCGTTACATGCTGCCTACTAGCTTAGTTATTTTCTTCTGCTGTTTAACTACTGTTTCTTAGATATTCTATAATATCATACTGTTATTACGTATTTTATTTATAAATTATATATTTTATGCTCTTGTTGCACAGAGCATGTTCATGATGAAATATTTCCCCTGAGGCAATAAAGTTCTTATCTTCTCGCTGTGATGGTCAAATCCTGAAAACAATGTAGTGAATCTTCTGGGCTCTTGATGACATGAGATTTTATTTCCAATGTTTGTAAAATCAATAGACTTGAAGCCATTTTAGTGTTAAAGTGGATTAGCGGTGGCGACCATCTTGAATCCGGTACATGAGCACCAAAAGTTGCATCTGATTGCTTCCTGAAGGTTATCTGACACAGATGGAGGAAAACTTTATCGCTCACCGCTCAAAGAAATCAAAATAGACGAAGACTCGTTTGTTTCATTTTTTAAATATTTAATTTTATCTGGAAACATTTGAATAGAGGAACACTTTTTCCTCTTTGGGTTCTTTTTGGACACATTCTGATTAGTAAACTTTGAGTAAATAAACAATACTTTAATATTGTGTTTCTTCTTGTCATTTAAAGAAAGACATCGGGTCCAGGTTGATGCCTGCCTTCAAAACCCCCTCAAAGATCCCGTTCTCAGACGTGAACATCGGTATGGGAACGGCTCACCCGCCTCGGTGGACCTCGGACAGCACGCTCGCTGAAGTCACAAGCATTCAACTGGAGTTCAGAGAACTGAGCCATCTCACCCAGGACCCCCAGTACCAGGTCAGAACCACAGAAATGTGTGAAAGTTTTTGAGGTCCTAAAACAGTTGGAGGCTGAATATTGCATTGGTTTAGTTGGAGGTTTTAGTTAAAAATCCTACTTGTGTGATTAAAGTAACAATTTTGAACCATACTCAGTCTAAAATCCATCCCAGGAGGAAATTATGAGCAAGTCCAGAGACCGTAGCATCAACCAGGTAACATCTGACTTAGAAAAGAACTTCTATCAAAGTCTATTATGGAAATTCCTGAAAAGTTCTAAATCTTTATTTACTCTAAATGCAGTATTGCTAAAAGTTAAGATGGGTTAATTTAGATACAATTAGGTTAAATAAAGAATTTCTATGTATTCCATGGTGTGTTTCTCCTTTTGTATTGACCTCTTGAGTCAAGTCATAACGATTGGGGGCTCATCCGGGATTTGAACACAGGGACACCAAACACGTTTAGATTTGGGTTAATAATCTTTCTTGTTTGTAGCCATTGTATACATCTTACCTCTGTCCTCAAAATCCATAACTCCTGTTGATCGTTTAAATTATTGTTGACAAAGTTTTTGTGTTTTAAAACTTTTTAGCAAAAATGTGATCCGCTTAAGTCTTTACTGTTTAGTGTTACCGCTATAACCTATAATCTCTTTATATTCCCAGGAAGCTGCCAATGAGGTGATGAGGATTGTGCACAAGCTTCCTGGGAAGAACGACGGTTTGGTTCCCATGTTCATCAACACCAACAGCGGCCAGTTCAGCCACAAAGGAGTCTTCACCCTTGGTGCCAGAGCCGACAGCTACTATGAGTACCTGCTGAAGCAGTGGATCCAGGGAGGGAAGACCGAAGACGAGTAAACCTTTCTTTTAAATGTACCAGCCACATAAAAGCGTTTACTTGGTAAATGTCAGGTCTTATTTTTTTAGAGACATCGGAGAAATGCGTCCAAAGCACCGCCTCCTAAAACAAGTGAAGACAAACATCTTGTGATTCTATTTTTAGAGTCCGTGAATGCTAAAGGTATAGGTCAAAGGTAGGATAGATGATCCTGGAAAAAGCCGATCAAGAAAGTTTTATTTTGAAAAAACACTTCACAGGTTCAGCCCTCTTGCTTCAGGCTCCGCCCCAAGTGACACCTCCAGAATGCTGGAAGGATTTTGTCAAACAACCCTAAAAACATAACACTGTCTTACTTCTTCAACCTGTTGTTGGACTATTTTCTGCCATAATTCCTAAAGAACCTACACAACAGCTAATGAGCTTCCAGGCTTCGGATGGACTCCTCATAGTCCGGTGCCGGTCAGGAGTTCTCCAGACTCTGACCCCATTGAATGTTTAAGAGACAGAACCTCGACCGAGCTGGGTGGACTGGGCTGATTACTAGGGATGTGAATCTTAAGGTTGGTTTATGCTTGATGCGTCCGTGAGGTCCGCATGGCTCCGCGCGGAAAAATTGCATCATTTTGCGTCATTTTAACAGCCACGCCCCTCCACTGTGCCTCCGCACAGCCCAAAATTTCCGCAACGCGCACCTAGGAAATTTTCTAACCACGCGGACGGTCGGACGCGAAAAAACATGGCGGACCGGCAAGAACTAGTATGGCAGAGGTTCGTAAATACAGACATTTGTATGATTCAGCTCTCAGAGATCACCGTGATCAACATGTTGTTAATAATTCTTGGAGAGAAATATCTCGCACTGTCGGAAAAGACGAGGACGCTGTTAAAAAATGCTGGAATGCCGTGTTGTAAACAGTAATTTCTACTTCTACTACGGTGTAATGTTGGATGCATGCCATAGAGCTCCATGCTGCCCCCTACAGTTTGGGAGAATATTGGCTCACCGCAGAGACAAGCCACACGAACCATAAACGCTGCGAGTTGTGAAGCGCGTTCCATCCGTGAGCCGCATCACCAAGCGGAAAGTAAATGCGTCACGCATAAACCAAGCTTAAGAGAAACTCACGATTTGATTCGATTCCGATTCTTGGGGTAAATGGTAAAATGGTAAATGGCCTGTATTTGATATAGCGCCTTCTAGAGTCCTGAAACCCCCCAAGGCGCTTTACAACACAACCAGTCATTCACCCATTCACACACACATTCACACACTGGTGGGGATGAGCTACAATGTAGCCACAGCTGCCCTGGGGCGCACTGACAGAGGCGAGGCTGCCGAGCACTGGCGCCACCGGTCCCTCCGACCACCACCAGCAGGCAACGTGGGTTAAGTGTCTTGCCCAAGGACACAACGACAGCGACAGACTGAGCGGGGCTCGAACCTGCAACCTTCCGATTACGGGGCAAGCACTTAACTCCTGTGCCACCGTCGCCCCACGGTGGAACAGGGGTGCCGATTCGATTCAGAATCGATTCTCGATTCTCAATTTAGATCGATTCACAATCAGTATTAACAAAGAGTGTCAGCTCCAGGATGAACTACGTTGTTGTACAAGTTAGTTAAAGCTACGGGACATTTTTATTTGACTTTAAACTGGTCATGCTCCAAAAATGCAAATTTACAATGTAAAATAAAGTGACTCTGAAATTGTAAACAGAAACAATCTTTTGACCAAAAGGCAACATTTATTTTTGCTTACCTTGTAAAATATAACAAATCTGTAGTTACCTAACAGTAGCTTTGAAAGTAATACTGTCAAATACTTTTCAAGTATGTGTAGAAACAAGTTACATGAGTAATCCTGAATACTCATTTATCAACTTGGATAATATGAGAATCTCAAATTAATGAGTATGGAAAAAATTACATTCAAGTGCCCTCTTATCAGCAGATTCAAACATAAATCATCTCAACTTATGGGAGCACAAAAGTAAACGGAGTACGGACTCTCCTAACAAAGATCAAATAAGTGCGTCTCAAACCTGTAACATAACACATATTTCAGTTCTTGGAATCTATTCTGAACCTTTGTGAATCGATTCTGAATCTTCATAAATAAGAATCCCGATTCAGACTTGAATCGATTTTTTTCAGCACCTCTACTGATTACACTGGGGGACCCCCGACCCACCTACTGCTGCTCAAGCCGTGTAACCATATAACGGTTTAGCTAGCTAATGTCGCTAGCCCGGCTCTGGCTTCACTTCATGTTAAGCTTCTCCAAGCTGAGAATGTGTGATTTGTCCACACAGAGGGGTATGTGCAGAGGGGGGAGGGATTATCAGAAGGTGTTTGCTACCAAATGTGGGCGCAATTTTAATTGTCAAAAACTCCAGCGAACCCCCCCCCCCCCCCCCCCCCCCCCCCCGCACGTCGGAAAAAAACGCTTGGTAACCCATCGTTAGTTTTAGCCGCTTCGGGTGTGTGACGTCATCAATACTAGTCAAAATCGACTAGATTTTCATTACTTGACTGTCAACTTAAAAAAAATTAAGCCATGCAGCCCCTAGTTTGCATTCATAAAACAAAAGGGAGTAACTACTTTTTAATACATCCTATCTTCACATCTTTATGGAAACTTTTATTTGATATTTTATACTTGCAGCAGCATGTTTGGGGGTTTTCATAATCAGAGACGGAACATAACGTAGTTTTTCCAGAACGTTCCCATCGTTTTGAAGTTCAACGATGGATATGATGGAATTCTGATAAGTAAAGTCACTCCAGGTTGGATGAGTTTTCCTGATGGACCGTGGTGGTTAACTCTCTTCCTTCTGTGTGTTGGCAACAGGTTGTTGGAGGATTACCTTCAGGCTATCGAGGGAGTGAAAAAACATCTGGTCAAACAGACAGGACCCGGCAGGTTGACCTTCGTTGGAGAGCTGACTCACAACGGCTTCAACCCAAAGATGGTATGGGTTCCCGGTCAGATCAGTGACTCCTTTATACTGTAGAGTTAGCATACATATGTATTTTGGGTGCTTTTTAAGCTCCGTATACGACACTACATTTGACCAATAAGATGTGAATTTCTAAATAAATATGGAAATCCAACCTGATGGATCTTTGAATGTTTAACCAGAAGAATTAGGATTCTTTGTTTATTCAGGGATCGTAACACACTTATTATACGTATTAATTCAGACAGTCGAGTTTATAAAAAGTAAGAAATTTATTTTCTAAACAATAAAAAACATGACAACTAGGAAACTGAGGTGATGAGTGTATGATGGGCGTAATGTGATGTGTGAATGTGATGTTATCAGAACCCTCCTATCTGAAAGAAACTGAGTTCTGAGTGGGAGTGAATTTGGTCTGCATTAAACTAGAAAGTTAATTTCTAATAAAACGGCATCAGACGCAATCTGTCAAGCCTACGTACCCTTTCGGAGACCCCCGTTGTAGATCCGGAATGTCAGGAAGTCTGTGGACCCCAAAGGTACCGAAGTCCGTAGGAGAAACCGCAGCACCACTAGACCGCTCTCGAGATGTCTCCAGGTCACGACAGTTAGTTGTTTGCGTCTATGGAAGGACTCTTAAGGAGTTGGAGCTGTGTCAGCTTTGTTCTGAAGGAACCGTTTGCGGTGTCAGCTGTAGCGTGCAACAGGTTTTGACAGCTTGTCAAAAGATGCGATGGGAGAAGAGTTTTCCTCCGGTGGCCAGTCCAGAGTTCGGCTCAACTGACTCACGAGGAAGTGAGTCCTGTTTTAATAATTGAAATATTTTTGATTTACTGACAAATCAGAATTTATAAAGAAGTGTTAACAAACAAACCTCAGAACCACACCTTTCCCAGATACGGGATGCTCTGACTTGTGGATAAGAAAATGTGCAGTGACGTTAACTTTAACTTGCATCATGGAGATATGGTGAGTGTGTGCTTGTCCAGTCACGTACGCTGATTAAATATATGGGTCATATGTTTCTTTTCATCCTTATTAATCTAAGCACAGATTAATCAGAACATTGTTATTATTATTCAGCCGTTATTGTTCATTCAATCATGATTATTTACGTATTTCATTGCATCATCCAGTATTTGTTATTATAACGGTTCATTCTTATAAAAGTTTATTCGTCTTGTTCTGTGAAGCAAATTAGATAATGATAAGCGGAAGCTTGAGAAGGACCTTGGTCAAGCAACAGCGCCTTTCTTGCAGATTAAAGGTTCCAGTTAAGACTTAGGTCTCCACATGACCGGATACTGAAGAGGTCAAACTGTAGATGAAAAACTGACCTTTTCTGGACGCTGCACTACACCCCGGAGAATCCCCCTAGATGAGTTCAGGGACCCTTCTGGGAAGATGAGGGGGAAAATACGCTGTCTCAATCATCTCAGCTATTGTCTCACAAACTAGGGCTGAACGATTTAGGAAAAAATCTAATAGCGTTTTTTTTTTCTTCAATATTGCAATTGCGATTTAATTCACGATTATTTTCTCAATGGGCTTTTCTCATTTTTCAACTAACGGAAGCAAAAAAATAATAATTCTATGTAACTTGTACTGAATATGCACAAGTTTATGTATCTACATATTTATCTACATATCATATCAACATGTTTATTTGTTTACATAAACACTCACAAGTAAAAACAAAATTTTGTATTTTATGGTGCAAAGCTTTGCAGCCAGGAGCGCATCCATTGAAGGACCATAGGTATTAGCGTCAATGGTGAAAATTGATTTGCAGGAGTTGTGTCCCATTTATTGAAGTATTTTGATTTTAGAGTTTTTGACGTTTTGTCCGTGCAGAACTCCCGTAGTTCAATTTTGTTCATAGCTGCTAGCCAGTGGAGTTAAAGTCTCTTACAGTTTTCTAGCTTTACTAAAGTATCTGTCTTTTCTTATTTGATTAATAACAGTTTTTACTTTTTATTAGACTCCAAATGTAATCATTTGGCACGCTCCTAATTCGTAGTTTGTAAGAATGTAATCGGCGATGTTAGCATTAGCATCCCTATGGGTTTTTCAATTATATTAGCATTGTGCTAACCACTCACTGCCAGTCAAATTGCAGCCTTTGCGATTAGAAAATCTCCTTTTGTCGCATCGCAATTTAATTGCATATGAAATTAATCGTTCAGCCCTATCACAAACGGATCCTGTAGGAAGTTTGTTCAGATGGCAGCATATCACCGTCTTTTTGGCAGTCACCGATTGGCACCAAAAGGCATCCACAGATATAGAGATTAATTATGTGAGAATTTTTATTCCGTAAAAGTACGCCATATTTTACTCCAGATGTGTTAATGGGCCATAGCCCAAGTCTTTTCCCCTTCTGGTCGGCTCATGGGTATCTGAACGGAACTATAAAAGTAGTTTTTAATCCGCCTTGCCTCCCGCCCTGAATCACATGTTAATGATAAATAACTCTGTGTGCTTTGACTGTGTCTGTCTTTGAGATTAGCTTGTAAAAGTTGGTACTTAAAATGACTAGCATAGTTGCTACTTATCACATGGCCAGATTGACGGTGTTTTTCTCTGTTTAAGGCGCCATTTGTCATCCTGTAAGAAGGATGTGAAGCTCGCAGCCATTTTTCTTTTCCTAGTCTGGCTCGACGTCGTCAATTTGGTGAGAAGAGCATTTGGAGTCTTCTTCGTGTTTGCGAACAAAACCTTGAGTAACTTTTGCTGCCTGTCCAAAATAAGCACTTTCTTTAAAATTCTTGGACATCATAGGCGGAATCCATGGCCCATATCATGGACCGGACGTAGATTGGTGTGACTTGGGCGGTATAGAGCAGCTGTGTGACAACAGTGGTGTTCAACGACCAGAAGAAACGGTTGTTACTGCGCTCCACAGGAGACCACAGAGCAGCCAAAATGATGGCGTAGAGCAGGGATTCCCAAAGTGTGGTGTTCCGTCGCGCGCGCGCGCGCGGCGCGTGTCCTCCACGTGTGCCATAGCTTCATAATAACAATGCGCCGAGCTTCAGCACTCTGGCCTGCGCACGCCGATATGTTCCGTCGCGCGCGCGCGTGTCCTCCACATGTGCCCTAACTTCATAATAATAACAATGCGCCGAGCTTCAGCACTCTGGC